AGTCTGACGCTTGCATTCCAATGGACCTGCCTTTCCGAATTCCAAATCGCCCAAACCTCCCTTTCCGTGGCGTGAAAAACGACGAGAAAGCATTTCGGCCATTGAACCACGAATTAGGAGAGATACGATGCGTTGACCTGTTGCCTGGATCCGGAGACGACCCCGTCGCATGCGAACTAGTGTATACCAACATTAACAACGATTTGAATACTCACGTTGACTACACCGCGCTGTCTTACTGCTGGGGAAATGTTGAAGATACCATGGAGATTACATTGCATGGTCCTTCAATGAACCAATCGTCTCGGGCACGTAAGGAGCAAACTAATGCGTCATTTCGAATCACAAGGAATCTCTACATCGCTTTGAAAGCATTGCGGAATGACAAAAGACAACATTTATGGATCGACGCCATATGTATTAATCAGCAAAATCTCCAAGAAAAGACACACCAAGTTCAACTAATGGCCAAAATCTACTCGTCAGCTGAATCGGTATTAGTGTGGCTAGGACCACACGATCTTGATAGCCAATTTCTTATGAGAGTATGGACAACACACCTACAACGTTTGAACGGGACTTCTTCAGGAAGATATGACCCAAAAACAAAGATCGACGGTCTCCACCGCGCATGGTGGTCAAGCGTACATCCCTTGTGGACTGACGTGGCTCAAGACAAAGTGTTCAACCAGATTGAGCTCGAACATGCTGGTGAACCAATGGGGGACTGCTCGCCATCTAGGTGGAGTGTCCGAATACACGACAGCCTCAAGAAGGTCTTAGAAAGACCATGGTGGAGCCGAATTTGGGTTGTGCAGGAGGTGTTTCTAGCGCCCAAGAAAGGGGAATGTGATCGTCAAGTTGATTTCAGGATCGGGGATGATACACTGCGTTGGCAAGAAATGGTGGATCTTATCAACCTGGTGTCTGACGTTGTTTTCCGAAGCGATGACAAAATCGGGATTCCTGGTACGCCTGACATCAGTCAAACGTTCGTGAGCCGAAGGCGGTCGCTCATTTTGGAGGACAGACTGAGTTTGAAAGAGACCATACTCCCTGGTACAGATGATTCCTATGAATCGGCCATCAGCCCATGGCGGTCGCCCACTTCACACAACCAACTGAACTTGAACGCCGTCGAGATCCCTATCACGCCTGACTTCTATCGAACGATCGTCAATCCATGGCGGACGCTCATCTCGGCAGACCAACGAAACATGAAAAAGGACATTATGTCCCTGCTCACAATCACGTCGGGATTTCATGCTTCAGATCCCCGGGATAAACTCTTCGCTCTACTTCAGCTGGCCACAGACACCAGGCAAGCCATAAGGTACGACCCGCGGCTAAGCCCTGATTACACCAAATCCACATGGGCTGTTTTTAACGACTTGAGACTTTGGAAATCAGATTTGGGGAGATGGGGCGATGCACGGTTACGCATAGACGGCCTCTTTGATGAGCATCTGAATCCCTCAAGGGAGAGGAGCACCCAAGAGCGAATTCCGTTCTCTTGATGCTGAGACGGTCTAAATCCTTCAGTTGAAGCCGAAGTCAGAGTCTTAGCTGCGATGCTTCAAATGGCAGTAGGCGTGACACAAAGGTGCATACTATGCCTCACAAATACATACCTTGGCATTGGACTTCAGCCATGTACTTACCTTGTGTCATGCATGATGCTCTGAAACCGAAGCAAGCTATCATTGAGCCACGATAAATTCGGGCCGATCAAAGTTCTGGTGTCAGTAGATTGCACAAAAATGGGTAGCATACCATCATCACTGCTGACTGAAGACGTTCTATTTCGCAAATTCGTATTAATGACAACTTTCTAATGTACAGCTTCAGGAGCTTACTGACCTTTCAAGCCCGTGACGACGTGTTTTCCTCAGCCTTCCGTTAACCGATGACGCTTTTGGCTTTTGGCGACATCGAACTCGTCGCAAGATCGATCATCCAAGGCTTACTGCAGACGAACACCAGCAGTACCCTTCTTCTTCGCCTGATCATCAAACGCATTCCCCAACCCACCACCACCACTCCTACTAGCCTCAAGCGAACTCTCAGCCATCTTCTTCTTCTCAGCAGCAACCTTATCAAGTTGCTTCTTCGTCTTCGTGTTTCCACTACCCTTGCCGTGGAACTGGTGACTGAGCTGCTTGAAGGCTTCTTTCTGGTTCATGTGGCGGCCGTGTTCGTCAACATACTTGAGCTCAATGTTGGGCGTGTACTCCTTGTTAAAGAGCTCAGCGAGACGGCGACTCTCGACCATCTCGGCGCTGGTGTTGTTTTTGCGGGCCCATTCTTCGCGCTCTCGGGGAGTCATGTTGTTCCAGCGGGCGGAACCTCGTTCGCGTTCACGAGCGATCTTGCGTTGGCGCTCGGCGTCAGCTTCGGCCTTGGCCTTGTCGGAAATGAACTTTTGGCGGTCGCGGTACATGGCGTTCTGGTCGGAGGCGTCGGATTCTGTGACCAGACCTCGTTGCTTGAGCAGGGCGAGAGTGGCACCCATACCTTGGTCGACAGTCTTTTCTGCCTCGAGACCCGTCTCGGTAATGTCTGTGGAGCGAGCGCGCGAGATGCTGCGGTTGCGGGCCTCTTCTGCTTCGGCTGCTTCAGCGTAAGATTGACCCATTTCGACATCACCGTCTTCATCAGCGACCGGGATATCGCCCATGGACTTCGTGCCCTCCGAGATGTGGCTGGACTTTCTACGCTTCCGGCGGGCTTCCTCCTCGTCGGCATCGCCTGCAGCACCTAGATTTTGTACGAACTCGGTTGTTTCGTCGATCACAAGGCCGCCATCACCATCTTCTGTGGATTCCATAACGTCTGGCTGGGGTGTTGATGCGTCTTCACGTAATTGCCGTGCAAGATCTTCTGGTCGCATCTTCTTGCGCTTCTTGAGGGCCTTTTGACGCTGCGCCGCGAGATTCGCTTGGAGGTCGTCGTCATCCACGAACGACTCGTCGAACACCTTTTTCTTCTTCTGTTGTGGTGCGGAGGATTCACCACCGTCAATGTCCATGTCGTCGCCAGCTGCAGTGTCTTCCGCAGGCATGGCAAGCATTTCCTCATCATCTTCGACGCGTTCTCGCTTGGATTTCTTGCCCTTCTTCTTCTTGGGCTTCTTCATCTTGACTTCCGAAACGTCCATGTAATCGTTGGTGGGCGCATCCTCTTTAAGTATGTCCAAACTGATCGCAACCTTCTTTGGTCTTGAAGCGCCCGCGACTTCAGCCTGCACGTCTTCAACAGTTCGGCCCTTGCCATCCAATGTGAACGCATTGCGCTTCTTGCCCTCAATCTCTTCGTCGTACTGTGCAAGTATCGACTTCTGGCCCCCTTCGTCCATATCGTTGGGGTCGTATGCGCGCTTCCGCTTCTTCGAATCGAGTCGCTCTTGTAGTCGCTCCTTTTCTCTGAGTTCAACCGCCTCTAGCTCGTCATCGTCTTCCCCGTCGACTGCAGTGTCTTTGAGAACAAGGATCTGATCTTCATCGTCGAACTGGTCGACCTCGTGTCCAACTTTGACACCAGCAAGGTCCTTGTCGGTATATTGCATGGCCTCGAGTGCCTGACGCTCGCGCTCTTCGAGCTCCTTGCGCATCTGCTCCTCCTTGACGATCTTCTTCTGGCGCTTCTTGCTGCTCTTCAGCCAGGCCAGGTCATCGTCGACGTCTGCTTCGTCCGCCAGCCCCTTGCCCTCAAGCTTTGCAAAGCGCGCCGCCTTTTCGCGCTCCTTCTTGATCGCCGCGGCGCGTTCTTCACGTCTTATCTTGGCCAGTCGCGCTTCTTCCAACTTCTTCCAGTTGTCCGAAGCGGCGGCCTGGCGCGTGTCGATGGTGCTCGCAGGCTCTTCGTCCGAGTCGTCGCCATTTTGCGCCGCCTTGAAATCGAGGCCGGGGGCTGCGGGTGCTGCAGGCGTGCTTCCACCGGGGAGAGCAGAGAGACCCATAGACAGACGAATCTTGTTCGCCTCATCGATGGATAGGTCCGCCATGGCTGATGCGGTCGTGATGTCCTGTCGCAACGCAGAGGTTTATGGTCCTGGAAGGAAAGTTGTGACGGCGCCGGAAGTTCGGGATCTTCAATACACTTTCGAGCAGTGTACAGAAGTGGTGGTCGCAAAGAGTGAAAGACACTCAGTATTCCCCAAAGGTGAAGTTCGGTGATGGGTGCCTGCCCGTGACCTGCGGGCAACATCGCACCTCCGCCCACACATTTGCCGCCAAGCCACTACTAACTAGCGCGCCGGTGTTCAGCCGAGCAACATAAAAAAAGTTGCGCGCCCTCACCCATCGAGTTCTCACCACAACGCCCTGTGTCAACGTCTCCTGTCCACGTCCTTTCGGAGAGCCGTGTGATGGTCGAGATGTTGACAGTTCGTCCATCATGGAGCCTTCTTCCTCAATAGAACGCTTCGGACGACAGGCAGCGCAGAGCAACTTTGGCAGCTTCCGGCAGCCTGAGCTCACCGTTCACGCGGTTCGAGCTCGGTGTATGGTCGTCTGTCAGGCAGACTGATTCCGTTTCCCTTTTGCTAGGCCGTTGGCCACTGATGCTTGGGACTAACCCAGTCGGCTACATGCCATCTTCATGAGTGATGCTTTGCGATTGCGCAGCTTTGCGCTGGTTGATCGTGAAGTCTGATAACTTTCCATGCGACTAGCTGGAAAAGCGCGACGGACGCGTTTACGCGTTTTGGAGGAATTGCATCATGCGCGAAGTCATGTGAATGCGCTTGACATGCGAAAGAGCCGTAGAGGCTGATTTGAGAACGAAAGCCAGCCTCTGCGCAGAAGCCACTGCCTCCTGCATCAACGAGCACCAACATGTCATAATCACTGGGCACGTGGTCTCGTATGCCATACAATATACATATGTTACAATATTTCAGCCTGAAGCCGCTAGATTGCAGTCCAATTGCTGGTAGAAGACCACATAGCCTCCTCGTGTTTCTAACGTCAATCCTCGGTGACTTCTCCCAGACCACACACTTAGTTCGCAGCCGGTGCCTCACCCCTCGCCAACTTGAGCAGCTCAGCCTCTCTCCGCTCCTTCAGCAACTTCTCCCTGACCAGCACTCTATCCGCCTCCGACCTCTCCTTGAACTCCTCAATCTCCTTCATCTCAGCGAGCTCCTCCTCCGTTGCCTTAATTTCCACTGCGCCTATCTTCTCCACCAGTGCCTCCAATATCTCGCTTTCGGACTGGTCCCTCATGTCAATCGAAAACGTGGGTTTCGAGGTCTCGGGTACAAGCGTATTTCGTTGGTTTGGTGTGGCGGACGGTGGTGAAGCGTCTGATTGTTGTGTTGTAGGAGAGTTGGTAGAGCCAGCCGATGGCTGTGTTTTGGTTGCTGTGAAGATGTGTAGGAGCGAGGGACCATCGGGGTCGTTGTGTCGCGCGACTTCCATTGGGATGGATGGATTACGGTATTTCATCCGGGGCAGCATATTGCGCCAGAATTTCCTGTTCGTAGCGTAAGCGCTCGATCTTGTCATTCCGTATAATTGCCAGCGCTCAAACATGGCGTCTGAATTGGCCTCATATTTTTTGCCCTCCTCGGGTACTTATAACAGAGCAATACCAACATACCTTGCCCCTCTATGTCCTCCGTAGAGTTTTGTGTTGAATTCCATACTAATCTTCGACACCTCTTTGGGCAGTATGAGCGCGCCTGGTCCACATCTTATCCATAACAACTGTCGCAGGTACCGATGTCAGCATTGTTACATTTCAGCTATCTCGAGTTGGTCGGGTTCGATTGTGGGCTTCGACGTTTTCGGAGGTGTCTGCGGAGGTGGATCTTACGTACGTGCTGTGGTGCTTGTTAGTCTTGCCAAAGGAGTAAACATGCACTCAGAGATTAGCTACTTGCCTCGCGTAGCTTGCGCATGCGCTTCAGTATGTGCACCATGGTTGCTGTGATGTGATATTGAACTGGGGTTGCGGAGTTCGAGAGATTCTCGGGCATTGCCCGTAGCGCGATCGTGTCTTGGCAGCCCTGCAGATGAGATGCGTCAACTGTTCACTCAAAAAAGGACATTCTGGTTAGATGGTAGTACAACTGAGCGGTACAATGATTGAACGCCTTTCCAGGTATCTGAGCTACATTATTCTTCCACTACACATATCCAGATCTCCATCCCCATTTGCCGAGTACTTCCACGAGCCAGACCAGAACATGTCCAATCCCAAGACTGTTTTCGCATCGCTCTGTTGGGTATTATCTGAGATCGCGCACAATGCTTATCACGTTCCTGTTGTGCGACTCTAGTCTACAGGAAGCAGGAGTGTAGGCGTTTACCGAGCAGGTTGTGCGGCGGCGGCACGCGTCTCTGCGGGAGTTGGTCCCGCCATGCGCTTGCTCCTGTAATTGGGATTAGTATGTGTGTTTCATCTCAGAGTAATTCGGCTTACATGAACGACCTGCTGAGGAAGGAGATGATGATCATGGGCATCCACGAGGGCATCTTGGAGAATCCCCAGGTGACGTATGCGTAAGGAATGGCAAGGTTGTACTGCTGGAGAGCACCGTTGAAGGGGTGGAAGGGACCCTCGTATGGGGTGACTTGCTCAATCTCGTTGTCAACGATGAGCTTCTTGAAGGTCTCGGTGGTGGTGCTGGTGCGGTTCAAGGGCTTGTAGCGAACGACGGGGACGGGCGCGGACTGGTCAGCCATGGGCTTGGGAACCTGGAAGTAGTAGAGCGCCGGTGCGCCGACAGACCATGCGTTGCAGAGGAGAGGCTCGGTTTCGCAGTCAAGGTACGCAAACTTGGGCGCATCAGGCTTCGCGGCCATGATGGGGAGAGAAGCCTGGTTGATGTTAGTGTCGGTCATCTGTATATCCGCATGCTATACGTACGTTCCATGCCTTGGTTGCGTTGCCACACAGGCCAAAGCAGGTGGTGTTGCCGCCGGTGGTGAAGATGAGCCAGTCCTGTGTGGTAGGAGGGCTGGCGGTAGCATCAACAGTAAGCGTCTCTTTCCAGTTCTCCAGGGTAATTGGGTACTGGATGGCGGCAGCTGCGTTGGAGGCCACCTTGCTCGTTGCGGTGTCGACTGGCGCCGACGGCATAGAGGGGATGGATGCGGACACGGCAGCCGTCGCCTTGTTGAAGAAGCCCTTCACCTTGTCAAGGAGAGGAACCTGCTCCTCGGCGACAGCGAGCGCCGGGAGAGCGAGAACGAGGCCTGATGAGAAGCGCATGTTGATTCTGTGTGGGGGGAGGTGTGGTGTTGAATTGCGAAAGCTGCGGGCGGTATGCTTGCGCTCTTCTGCCTGATGATGCCACAGGGTCCAATTGGAGCGACGTTGAAGTAATGTGGGGGATGCAGCTCAACGTCAGAGGCAACCACTAACAATCGTGAAGGAGCGATAGAAATGTAGATGCAATTGTCGCGCGAAGATCGCAAGGAAGTTCCCAGGCCGAGATAGCTAATAATATGAGGAATAGGGATGAGGACTAATAACCCGGCTCTTCTGCTCGAGCTTGGCAGTCCAGAGCTCTGCCGCGAAATTGGGAAGCCTGGGCCAACCGTTCGTCAATAGCTTTCACCATCACGGACCTGGTGCGTACGCGTTCACTCTTCACCAACCGGACGCGTTACAATGCACACATTCGCGACAGGGTGGACCGAATGACCTATGACGCGAGGATCTATTTGGACAAACATACATCAATTATCTCTCACACTGGTTTGCCTACCCGGCTATCCATTCCCAGCATTCCATCTCACCTCATCTCGTTCCATCCCGTCATCATCATTTCCTAGTAAGCCCGTCAAAACTCCAGCCTGGCTGCGCAATGTGTGCCGCCAAAGTAAAGATGAGATCCTCGCCACTCTCTGATCTCGAAAGCCGTTGGAAAGGAGCTTCTATCAACACCTCAGTACAGTCCTATCCAGCTCTAGGGATAGTTCAACATACTCTCATCATGTAGCTTTCGCGACACATTGGCACTCATCGACGTCCTAGAGCCTGCTGTTAGTAAGCTATCGCCAGAACCCCTTGAGGTCCCCGTGATAGAAGTGTCAATACCTTGGCCCAATCTCCTCGCTAGTTCCTCTCTGAACGCTCTGTTAGGTTCTGGTCGATCATCGGCTTCTTCTTTTGCGGAGTAAGCGGTACTCCATCCACTAGCTCCTGATACTGGCAGACGGTTACCAGCGTCCCTGACCTGAGCTCGCTCGTGCTCTTCTACCTCGCGACTGTGTGCTGTTTCTTCGTACAATACCTTGCCCGCTTTCGGGCTACTACTGTCATTTTTCTCTTCAGCTGCCACACTACGTAGTTTGCGTGGGCCAAGGATATCGCCAAATATGGCGGCCATATTGGGTGGTCCTGCTGAGCGTGGTGGAGGGGGTCCAGGTGGAGGAGGTGGTCTTGCTGCTGGTGGAGGTGGAGGAGGCGGTGGTGGAGGCGGTGGTGGAATTGGGGGGGATGCCGCTTGCTGGGGAGCTGGCATCTGGATGCTTTGTAAGAATTCGGGTGTAAAACGATTTGATAGCGATTGAGCGCGTGGTGCGTGCGACATGATTGGTGAGGATGATCCTGAAGGACCTTCTGATACATCAGGAGAAGGGGGTGTATCTGGGTATGGAGGTCTGGCAGAAGAAGGAGGCGTATCTGGATATGAGGGTATGGTAGGAGAAGGAACGCTCTCCGGATATTGAGCAGCCATGGCAGGAGAAGGGGGTGTCTCCGGGTATGGTATCTCATCATGAGCGAGAGATCCTTCATCTCCTTCCCGCTCCAGATAATCCTGGTCCTCATAATCCCCATAACTCCCTGGCATCGGCGAACCTGGAGCTTGATCGTAGTAGTCTGCTGCTGCACCATTTTCAGACGCATCATCAGCAGCCCGAACACTGGGCTCTCGCGGTGGTGAAGCCTCACGCCCATGAGGTTCCTTCTCAGGGACAGGTGGGGGCCGGCTGGGAGGTGCATACCAGTCGTGCGCTACTGGAGCAATTGGGGGTGTACGATTGGGAGGAGTATTGGCTCGGATAGGTCTGCTCGGCTGTCTTGGAGCCGGTGGAGGAGGATATTCCGGAGCAGTAGGAGGCTGAGAAGCCCGCGCAACTGGCGTTGATTGAAAAGTGGGAGTCCCACTAGATGTAGGAGGCTGAACACGGATCTCAGGAATCGGCGAGCTTCGGTTTTCCTTCCTGTCTTCCTCTTGTCGTCGTTTCTCACGATGCTCGTGTTCAAGTCGCTTCTCGTACTCACGTCGGCGCTCGTCTTGTTCACGACGATGAGGCTCCCTAGCTTCTGTTTCCGCAGCAGTTGGTTTCCATTCATCGCCCCGTGTCTTTTCAGGGTACCGTTCGGCCCACCTTACTCTCTCTGGCTCGCTCTTTCGTATCTTCCCCCTCTCTCTCCTTTCGCCTTCCCTTGATCTGTCACTACAATCCTTCGCATCCGTCTTCATCTTCTCCCTCTCTTTCCTTTCCCCTTCTCGGAGTCTGTCACTGTAACTCTTCGTATCCGTCTTCTTCTTCCACATCCCATCAAGGACGTTCTCCAACGCACCTTTGGTACGGTGGCCGGCTTCATGCTCGGCTTTGATGTGCCTATAGGTGGCCATGATGTGATCCCCGAGGCCCATGGCTATGCCCCCTTTGCTCTTGTACTCGGGTAAGCTGCCAAAGGGTGTACCGTCTGGCCCTTTCTGCTGCCTTTTTGGAGATCGGGATGCGCCTACGCGGCCTGGGCTAGCATCCGCTTGCTTGGTACGTGAACGGTCACGCCTATGGGAGCTTGGGTGCCTCTCAGACTTTCGACGATGAGATCGATGGGGAGTACGATGTCTGTCATGTTTGGCTCGGTGTGTTTCCTTGCGTCCACGAGATCGCTCCCTCGAGCGATCCTTTGACGATTTCCTCCCTGAACGATCTGGAGTTGGGTCTCTTCTTCCAGATGGATGATTTTTCCCCCGTCCATGGGATCGCGATCGGGGACGAGGCTCAGGAGCCAAATCTTCCCATGAAGTTTGATAGCCACTGCCACCACTTCCTGGTCGATCCCCTTCTCCACGCAATGGAGTGTCTGGCTTCCGATGTTCATCATGCAAAGTACCTGCTGGCCCAGCACCACCCGTCATATGATATTCTGAATCGTCGTTCTGAGCAGGCTCGATGACTGGGTCGCGGACGTCACTGCGCCGGCGAGATCTCGAGCGTCTATCGCGGGATCTGGATCGTTCATGACGGCGTCTTCCACGCTCTTCATCCATCGATCTAGAACGGTGACGACGGTGTCGATGCCTGACACTAGATCCATGACCATGTTCATCACCGCGCCTATGCCTACGGTGCCTCCTATGCCCATCCTTCCCACTCTCGTCCATACCGTTTCCCTTCTTATGTCTCCTGTGCTTCCCTTCTTCTTTCCCCTTCCCCTTATCTTCTTTCCCCTTCCCCTTCTCTTCTGTTGCCTTCTCCTCTTTGTAGCTGCGATACAACTTCACACCCTCAACCACAGCTTCGATGACCAATTTTGCACCACTTTTCTCGTGACGTTCGGAGACCAGGTCCTGGACTTTTCCTTGAACTTGCTTGCGGTACGCGTCGTTGTCAGGCATTGGTAGTGCTCAGGTTGCGCGTGCGGGTACATAGTCGGAAGTGAGTAAGTTGGGTTATGAAGGGAAAGCATGTGAAGCGGAAGGGTTGTGAATGTGATGATCATGGGCTGAAGTGGCAGTGAGCGGACGCCGCTGCTGGGAGGGTGGTTTGGGTTATGGAATGGAGTGATGGGCTAGCAAACGCGGTGAATGTGTGAAGATGATGTGGCGTGAACATGCAATGAACGAACGGGGTTCTGTCATGAATGGAAGTGCAATTGCGAACGAGATCAAGGTCTATTAGCCAGCAATCAGGATAAACACACCGATGCTCGATCTGTGGTGTAAGAGAGTCGAAGCGCTGAAGAATTGAGAAAGGGGTAGAGTTGATCTTATTAGAATTACGATACTGAAGCAGAAGTGGACTTCCCAGAGCTTAGCTCGTCGATTTCTTCTCGATTGTATTGTTGTGTCGTTCTCAGTAGGCGCGTCATCGCAGGTATCGCAGTCGTCGTGCTAGGAGTGTTCCAGAAAGACACTCCAGGTCCGCATGTTGGCCAAGTCCGAATGCCAAAACGCCGTTGGTATGCAGCCCATATCCATGTCCCTCAAGCCGTCTATGCTCCTTGTTCCCATCAAGATCATCCTCGTCCCTGATTTCACAGTATTACCACCCCCATTGCCATGCCCGTCCATCTTCCTATGCGTGCACCTACTCCTTCTTCTTCGCTTCGCCCTTTTTCACCCTGACGCCCTTGCCTCTGAAGTCGTTGGCGTCTAACGCATCTGTCTTCCCCAAGCCAAGGTCTTCAGCCTCCTTCTCTAATTGTTGCTTCTGTTTCTTTGCGGCCGCGTTGAGCAGGTATGGTCGGATGAGGAGGTATGCGCCCACGATAGCGATGATGCGAACCCAGCGCTGGGCGGTCATCTCTTCGAAAGACTTGATCGAGTTGTTGACCAGACGGTCCTTCCACTCGACCACGTTGTCAAGTACGTAGTCCATCTTGGCTATGTGATGTTTGTATTCGCGATTGTAGTTTTGTTGCGCAGTAGTGTGGAGGAGCGACGTCCGGGTGCGATTACGGCTTCGTTGGAGGGTGACGCGAGAGAAGTGTTCGGTGACTTTGTCGATAGACGGATGCGTGTGGAATTGTGCGTGAAAGGCGATGTTGACGAGGAAGTAATTGCGCGCAATAACAATAAATCACTCAAGCGTGGACCCCCAGGTGGCAGAACATGGGCGGTGACTTTCTCCCCGGTCATCACCGAGGCCCCGCTATTGGCCCGCGTTAGGCGCGTCGCGTCACTCGTCTGGCCGGCAATTACACGCGATTGAAGTTCAACCACGAGGCGATATGGCGTCAAACGATGATGCCAAAGCAGAGCGCGAAGAGGTAGGAAGTCTTTTGTCTGAATTGATAGTCAGCTTGGGCTGACAATATGCACAGCGGCTCAAGTCAGCCCTCTGGTACTCAATCGGCCAGTTCGTTGACGAGAAGACGTTGGAGAACGACCTGAATGCAACACCTCAGTTCATCGGTGCGCTTACTGAGCTTGTATATACCCAAATCGGTACGATCAACCTCGAGCCCTCAGATACTGCTTAGTCTACAGGGTGCTAACGCCATCACAGCAAATACAGCCCGCGACCTCGAAGTCTTCTCCAAACACGCCGGTCGCAACACAATCAATACGGACGATGTACTACTACTAGGAAGGCGTAATGAACAATTACAAGGCTTGCTGGAGAAGGAGCTCGAGGATATCAGAACAGCAGAGGGCAGGCGGGCAGACGGACAGCCAGTTGCTCGCGCACAGCCAGCCGCGGCAGGGAAGAAGCGAGGTCGGCCTGCTGGTACTGGCAAGGGCAAGGCGAAAGCCTGAATATACTCGGGGAATCATGTATGGACATGCCTGAAAGGTTATTGCGCTGGGAGTTTTGGAGTTGTGGTATGATACCCTCAAGCACGCCTAGTGAAGGCATACTCTGCACGTACATCTCGTGCAAACAATTATGATCGGACATTTTACGAGCCAATAATCAAAACTACGATAGTCATGCTCAACTACTGACTTTGTCTGTGATTGAGACTACTCGGTGCGGCCAGTATGACACCCCAAGGCTAGCCCCTGCATCCGAGGGAAAGCGCCGGTACGCCAATCGTTCGTCAGCACGCCGCGCCTTCCAAACCCGTCGTCCCCACGCTCCATCTTCTCACCACCACTGCATTCGTCGAGATGTGTTATTCAGCCGTAGAAACGATACACAGGCGCACGAAAGCGATGAAACGTTTGCTAATGACTCTTTCCATAGGCTAATTGCAATAGATCATTGTTTGTGGATGCTACGCTGTTCATCAGATGCAGTGCCTTTATCTGCATTGTCCGCACTTGAATTGTTACAGCAGTCAAGCTCCGCGTTGTTTCTTTGTTATAATCACTAAAAGGCAGGTCCTCTTTCTTGTCGCACTTACAGATCTTCCACATGTTCGCCTCCACCATGCACGCCCCAAACCGACCAACGTCATTAGACGTGGCTTCCATCGAACAGGGGAGCTTACCTTCACCAGCTCCAACATACAGCTCTACGTTCCTTTCGTATACCGCTCCTCATACGCCCCAAAACGCCAATTTTGGTTCAGCACCAAAAGGTGGCGCTTCAAACAACCCCTACCATCAAGCCACGCATGAGTCGCCTTCTTCGATCCCGCGTTACAACAAAGCAGCTTCAAAGGAGATGGAGGAAGCTCAGGTCAAGCCCGACTACCAGGACACAAACCACCCCCACTTTGCGCAGTCTTTTGTACCGGGTTTCCCAACCTCACTGCCTGCACTGAGTCGAATGCCGCGAAAATGCATCCTTGTGCCGTGGGTACTTTTCGCCATTTTTTTCCTCATAACGCTGTGGTTCATTTCGATCTTAGCTGGCGCACGGTTCCTCTCCATCATCCATCCGACATTGCCAGTATCTACAGTGCAGGAGATTCATATCTACGTCAATGGAGAAGTGCTTCAAGGGAGCATCTCTGTCTCTACTGGAACTCTCGCATTGCCCGCGGACACTGTTACTTCCACTGCAAATACTCCAAGCCCAACAGCACCAATATCCGAACCAATGCCTGACACTGGCAAGGAAATGGACGGTCTTTCTACGGTGCTTGAAGGACGCACTGTACCAGCGCCTACAGGTTTCATCTTCAAAAGACGAGCCCCATGAGAAAGACATTTTCTGCGACTGAGGTGCTGCCCCACTCCAGGCGCCGGAGCAGCGCGTCATGAAGTGCAGCCTCATCAAAGGAAGTGAACTGTAGATTGCTTTTGCAATGAAAGTCGTTCACATGATTCATAAGCAGTCTCAAGCACATGTTACTCTGGTTCTTTCAAACCACCGACTACTGCATCAACGCAGCCTTGTGAAATTTCTCCGGGTATCACAGAACCCGTCAGCTGCGTCTACGGGCTTCGGCAACAAGAACACCGAAGTTTTCATGTTCATCGCGACTCGCTGCAGGATCGTGTTCCCAGCGAACCGCTCTCGCAGTGTTTTGAAACATGCGGCTGCACAGTTGAAACGGATTCGCTAACCCAAAGTAGCGAGACTGGAAACGCTCGCTTCCCAGCTTCTCCACCACCATGCCCACCCAATCTCGGATGGTGCCTGTCGCATAAACAAGCATCGCGGACAACGCCCAAAAAGGGCAGACTAGCACTTCATCTAGATGTACTGCTGGCGTGTCGCTTCTTGGCATCTGTCAAGGCGATGTCGTTCCCGTTGCCAGTGGCTGGGATAGCGTGAACGGGTGTCATGGAGGATTCCAGGCGGTTTGTCCTGATCTCCGGGACTATTAATCTCATGCCAGGCGCCTAAGACAGGGAATAGATCTGCGTGGGGTGAGTACAAAAGCTGCCGTCGTCCTGACTTCTCCAGCTCATCATTCCATCAGGCCAGTCCTTTCTTGCACAACACTCGTTCCGGTTTTTGCCAACTTCATTCTTTACACTACATTCATTTCGTGATCAGGCATCACTAGCATATCTTTGCATATCCAGTCACTGTACATATCATACCGACGACACAACTTTGAAACTTCAAGATGTTCACCAAGGCCGTTTTCACCAGCGCTCTCCTCTCCGCCGTCTCGGCTCACCAGAACCTTCACCAGCTCTGGGTCAACGATGTCACCCCCGGTTACCAGGTCGGCATCCGGATGCCACCTTCCAACAGCCCCGTCACCGACGTAACCAGCGACGACATTGTTTGCAACGTTGGCGGCTCCAAGGTCCCCTCCGGTGTCGAGACCGTTGCTGCCGCTGAGGGTGACACAATCAAGGTCCAATGGGACCAGTCCGGCCACCCAGGTCCTATCACCCACATGCTCTACGGACCCGTCGACGATGCTGCCCAGGCTACCGGTATCGGTGCCGGATGGTTCAAGATTGACGAGCTCGACCAAGTCGGCGGCAAGTGGGCCAACGAGATCATGGGGGAGAACAACATGACCCACGAGTTTGCTCTTCCTACCGGTCTTGCTAGCGGTGAGTACCTCCTCCGTTCGGAGATGCTGGCTCTCCACAGCGCCCAGACCGTCGGCGGTGCTCAGTTCTACATTGGCTGCATGCAGCTCAAGATCACTGGTACCGGCAGCGAGGGCTCATGCACACCTACCATTGAGCTCCCCGGCGCCTACAAGGCTGAGGATAAGAACATCTACATCCCCGACATCTACAACGGCTTCGACGCGACCACCTACAAGGCTCCTGGTGGCGCCGTTGCTTCCTGCGGTGGTGCCGGTGGTGCTAAGCCATCTGCTCCTGCTGCTAACTCGACCGTCCCTGTCTCTTCTCCCGCCGCCGCCGCCTCTTCTCCCGCCGCCGCCGCCTCTTCTCCCGCCGCCTCTTCTGTCGTCGTTGCCGAGACCAGCGCCGCCGCTCTCCCTACCCTCGCTCCTGCCCGCCCCTCGATGAACGCTACCATCCCCAGCGCTGCCCCCGAGGCCCCCACCACCTTCGCTACTCTCGTCAAGCCTTCTGCCGGTATCGCTGCCCCCACCGGCGCTGTTCCCTCCGGAACTGCTGGTGCTGCTAAGCTTTGGTACCAGTGCGGTGGCCAGGGATGGACTGGCCCGACTGCCTGCGAGGGCACTGCCAAGTGCGTCAAGCAGAACGACTTCTACTCCCAGTGCCTCGCCTAAGGGAGAGCTTCTGAGATAAAAATGGCTATGAGATTAATCGGGGAGAAAGAGATGAACTGGAAACTTTGATTGGAGACACCTTCTTGATGTTCATGTATATACCTTGACTTTGCAATTCTACTTCACATTACTTATTGTTCAAACCCTTTTCTGAAGCATGCGTGACGTAGACCCCCCGTGGCACGGATTTGCTGACGTGAAGCAGAGATGGCGGGCTGAGACGCGGCCGTTGCACAAGAGGAAGGAGCGTCATCAACAGGTGGCCGGACGGGAAGGAACAAAGGAAACTTCTTTCTTGTTCGAGAACGTCGGACGTCCGGCCCCTGAGTGACGTCTTGCCATGGGTTGATTCTTTTGCAGTCGCGGACGATCAGGTCGAAAACCAAAAATAGTGCCGAATGCCTGTCGCGTGTGGGAGAAGGCTCGATTCGCAGGGCGGGCGGAGGACGAACAAGCGGCGGCGTTAGTGCATGTTTCAGATTAACCTTATGTATGGCAGGCCATGGTGAGCTGTTTGTACCACCACGGCGCGCCGTGTGAACAGCTGGCCTGGCGGTGCGGCTGCATATGCACAGCAGCCAGGCATGAAGGGGGCGACGTCATGCAGCGTGTCAGAGTCTGAACTGTCACGGACTTCGTCTTCCATGGCCGGCCGTTGTTGGTGACGGACGGGGGTGGAGGTGTCGCTGTGGCTCCTCAGTGGCTTCCCCGAAGTTCAAGGCCGCGGCCAGGGTGCCAGGGTCGTGCTCCACTCTCTCTAATTCACCAACCCACGTCGCTGTCCCGCTCCTAATTCCCCATCACCGCCACAACACCGCCGCGCCTCCCGACTTGTGCCCCGACGCCCGAGCCATACTACGTCTTAATCTCTATTCTCTACACACGCCCACGCTACACGTTCCGCACGTCGACGGCAGCTGCCTTTCAAGATACCCTCGACCGACCCGCAGTAGCCTACACCGCCAACCCTTGCAAATATGGCGGACAAGACCGAAAGACCCACGAGCTCACACAGTTCCGACAAAGACGGCGTAAGCAATGCCTGTTTGAATCTGGCGGCAGCGGAGAGCCTCAGTGTGCGAGTTTGCTAACACGCGTGCGGCGGTGTAGGACGACTTCGAAGACGCTTCTGAGATTACCCCTCGCCCCGACTCACACTCCGAACGATCGCAGTCACGGTCACGCTCCCTCCTACAGCGAGAGTCTTCCAACTCCACCGTACAAGCCGGCAAACCAGTCTCGCCCAACCCTGCAGTGCCAAAACTGCCCAAAGAGGAGAGCGACGATAGCGAGGAGGATGACGACGATGATGACGACGACGAGGATGAGGACGAAGATGACAGCGACGAGTCAGAGAGCGAGCCCGAAGTCGTCGAAAAGCCTACCGAGGCTGCACCGGCAGCCAAGTCACCACTCTTGACTGGACACAGGGTCTCAGTCACCTCAGACATGGACGACGTGTCGTTGGATAGTGGTGAGTACACCTACTTTGTTTGGCATAATCTAGGGCTATGTGATGTGCGCATGCTCGGCGAATCATGCTTCAAAAGCGAGGGCGCCCCGCATTCACTCACTCCGTAGCCACAAATGCGTCATGCGCAAATGCATGCTGAGCGCAGAACCTGAGCTGACTCCCTACAGAAGGCTCCAAGGCTGCCGGCATACTCCCCAAACTACCACCGCGAGACTCTCGAGACTCCACAAGCTCCGCGAGTGGCCTACAAGGCCTTTCAGGCACAATGGCACCCGTAAAATTCCCCCCTCCACCCGCGCCGCCCGCTGTACAAGAGAAAGAGAAACCCGCGCCAGCACCGACGACCAGGAAGCTCACAGGCCCCTTTGCGTGGCTTTCGAGGAATAGTTCCAGCAAGAAGCCCGAGTCTCCACCCACAGCTACAACAACTGCCGAGCGACGTCATACTGGGGCATCTATTGCAACCATCGGCAGCAATCCTGAGCTCACTTTGAGCAGGATCGAAGACGAAGGAGACATGGGCTCCAAGAACAGATCAAGCCAGGGCAGCCTGCGAGATCGCTTCAAGATTCTGCGGATGAGGGAAGAAGCTGGCATAACACTGGATGACACAACCGGAGAAGGCAGTCCAGCAGCAGCGTTAGCATCACCAGGCCTCGGTCTCGGCATTGCCAGCCCCACCCCTCTAGCTGAGGAAGAGCCAGGAAGTCCTCCAGCGCTCGCAAAGCAACCTACAATAAATCCCAAGTTGGCCCCCGGTACTGCTTCTGGTTTCGCCGCTGGTCCGGCAGGAGATGCGGCTGAGCCTGTCGACTGGGACCTATGGCAGTCAGTGGTCAATGAGGGCCCAGCCGCAATCGCGCGTACCAGCTCCGAAGAACTGAACCGCGCCATCGCCAGCGGCATCCCTCAAGTTATCCGTGGTGTTATTTGGCAAGTGCTGGCGCAAAGTAAAAGCGAAGAGCTGGAGAGCATGTACAGGGAGCTAGTCGCTCGTGGAACAGACAAAGAATACATGAGCGTCAGAAACAGCACTGTCAGCACCGGCCAAGCCAGTGCGAACGGAAAGGACTCCGTCGCTTCTTCCTCGTCTTCTGTGCATTCCGACTACTCGAGCCCGGCCACAACAGCTGCTAGCACGACTGCACCATTAGGCTCGCCATCACTCACGTCGGACGAAGATCCCATCAAGGTACAAGCGAGGCTTGCGGCGGAAAAGAAGCAGAATGCAGTCACCATCTCGAAATTAGAGAAGGTCATCAAGCGCGATCTCGGAGCCCGAACGAGCTACTCCAAGTACCTCATGGCAGCTGGGCTACAAGACGGTCTCTTTGGCATCTGCAAAGCCTATGCTCTGTACGATGACGCCGTTGGTTACGCTCAAGGCATGAACTTCATCGCCATGCCTCTGCTTTTCAACGTAAGCTATCACCCTTGTGATAATCGTCGCTTTACTAACTTCGGTAGATGCCTGAGGAAGAAGCTTTCAGTCTTTTCGTTACGCTCATGAACAAATATCGTCTGCGCGACCTCTTTGTGGCTGATATGGCTGGACTCCATCTGCATCTTTACCAGTTCGAACGTCTTTTGGAAGATCTGGAGCCCGCTCTCTACTGCCATCTTCGGCGAAGAGAGGTCAAGCCCCAGCTTTACGCAACGCAATGGTTCCTCACGTTGTTTGCATACCGATTCCCGCTGCAGCTCGTCTTGCGCATCTACGACCTGATACTCAGCGAGGGTCTTGAGTCTGCTATCTTGAAGTTCGGCATCGTACTAATGCAGAAGAACGCCGAAACGTTGCTAGGTATGAAGGACATGTCTACCCTGACCCAGTTCCTCAAAGAGCGGTTGTTCGATGTCTACATCGACAAAGCCCCGTCGGCCAATTCCATTCTCGAGAACGGCTTCTTCGGTTCGACGGCCGGTATCGACAAGGAGATTTATCGCGCCGATACCCTCGTCAAAGATGCCGTTTCTGTCAAGATTACGCCGGAGATGCTCAAGCAATACACCGCTGAGTGGAAAGAACAGCAACGTGTGGAAAAGGAGCGCGAGACTGAACTTCATGGATTGAAAGACAAGGTCACGCATTTGGAGCAAAAGGTTCGGTCTTTGGAGCATCGTGCTGAACAGTCCGACATGGAACATGTCCAGGTCGCTTCTGAGCTCATCAAGACCAAGGTCGAGAATGAGAACTTCGCTGAAGAAAACGAAACTTTGAAGACCAAGGTCTTGGAACTACAGAAAATCGTCGATACCCAACCTGCCGAGGTTGAAGCACGGCTGAAGAGCGAAATGGAGACTGTCATGCAGAAGAACATTGTCGTCCACAACGAGAACCGCAACTTAGAAGACTCGATGGCCGAGATGGAGAAGGAGTTGGTCGATGTCAAGATGCAATGGGCTACAGTAAGTTGCAACCCAGTTCGATGTTGCGCACTGCTAACCAGTCTTCTAGATCAACGAAGAGCACGAAGCGCTCAAGCAAAAGTGGAACAACATTTCGCAGATGATGAAGTAAGCCCGATAGTGGGCTCATTTTTGCATCAAAGGCATCGGGTTGACTTGCATACAGCACGCAAGCGCCGCCACCCGTTGGGGATCAGATCTATTCTGTCGCGTCGATCGCCCCTTAATTCGTTTCTAATGTCTATATACATGTCCGCCCCGCACGATACTACTTCTTGCGGGGCCTTGTTGCGCGTTATGCTTTGGCATCATCAGTTTCGCATCACTATCTATACCTGTGGCTTGATGGGACGGGTGGAGATGCCTTCACTTGGATACGATCAGAATTGGACAGCTCGCATGGCATGGAAGCAAGGTGTTTAGGAAAGTGGCGATTGAATAAGCATACGTCTATCTCTATAGACTCATGGAAGGTGTTTCTCGCTATGTTTCGTTGGCTTGTAGTATCTTATGACGGAAGCCTAGTTTGTTAGATCATCAATAGAAGCACGAAATGATTTAGCAGGTATGCACATGCTTGCTGCCAGCGAATGTCATAATGCTACAAATATCGTTCGTGCAGCTTTCGACCTACTATCCTTGTCATTTGCTACTCAAGCCGTGGCCTTCCAAGCACAGCACATTATCAGTCCATGCCGCATCGGGAAGCCACAGTGAAGCACTAGTCTTCGCTTATCTTATCGTGAACCCTGCAGGAAAAAGTTACCCAACCCCACAGTCATTCTGCAACTCAGATCGACGACGATACAATCGCAATTGAAGATGGCCGAACAAGCAACAGAAGAAGATATCCTCCTCGCCAAGCGCATCATCTCGGCGGCAGAGCGTCACGATGTGCCGGCGTTGACCGTCCTGCTCAAAGATGGCTCGGCAAACGTGCAAGACCCCACAGCAACAGTATCAACATCACCACTACACGCAGCAACCGCAGCATGCGGTAAGGCTGAAGACGGAAAGGAGGCTGGCGATGCCGCCATCCAAACCGTAGAGACCCTCCTCCAAAATGGCGCCATCTGGAACGACCTCAACAAGGAAGACGAGACACCAGGATGCATTG